TGCACAAAGACCTTGAACTTCACTCTGGCAGAGTGAATTCTCTGTAGTAGCTAAGTGTACCACTGGAAAATGTTCTGATTCCAGTAATTAATCTATCCTCTAAGAGAATCCACGTTATTATTTTTTTACAACTTTCTGTTCCTTAATGCAAAAAAGGGTATTTTTTGGTTATAAGTTTGCTCATAAGTTTCATGTACTGGGGGGAAAAGCTACATTTTTTTAGAAGTTAAAATAGGAGTATATTAATTAACCTTAAATCCAAAAAGAGATCATTTATCACCAAACATTTGAATTTTGGTATACTTAGTTTTAATTGTATTCTTCAAGATAATAAAGAAGGGAAAAATGATCTTAAAAAATCAAAAGCATTTTATCAAAAGCTTTATAGTTCATGGTTAGGACCTTGAGGTTGAGAGACATATTGCAAGAAAGACCCTTTTAAAAAGTTACATTTCAACTGGTATTGTTCTTACTGATAAATCCTATAACCTAGGTATGAGAGTTTTAATACTTTATTTTTTTAAAAAGATTTATTTGTGCATACAAAATTGGGGTATAGGCCAGAGGTGTATGAGAGCATGAGAGTTCTAATACTTTTTTTTTTTAAAGATTTATTTATTTGTGCATACAGAACTGGGTACAGGCCAGAGGTGTAGGGACGGTGAGAGGTTTCACCAGAGACAGAGTGGGGAGCAGAACAGGCAGATTATCGAAGTACACTGCTGAGGGGAGCAGCCGGCAGATCAGGAGACGTCTGCCAGGCCATGTAGATCACCTCCAGGGCAAGTAGGGATCGAACTCATGCTGAAGCGGCTTTAGCTTCTTAGTTCTGTGCTTTAACACACTGTACCACCAGGGAGGGCCCGAGTTTTAATACTTTTAATATTCTAAATATATTTCTTTCCAAATCCTAGCTCTTTTTGGGAACAAATTATCAGGAAATGTTATGACAGCTACTTTTCTATGATAACCCAGTAGCAGCAAGGGAATATTTATCTTTGCTAATGTGTTTTCTGTTTAAACATAAGTTAATCATTATAGTCTCAGAACCTACAGAATTCCATTTAACATTCCAAATTTATGTCACTTTTTATAACTTGAAATATGATCTATTTTGCATTCTTTATCAAAATTATGACAGTAATGAAAATTTTTGTTTGAATAAAACAAATATTAGAGGTATTCTTTAAGTAATGGTGATATTTATATGTGCTATGTTTACAAAATCTTTTTCTATCTCCAGCACTCTTAAAGAGTTCCTCATTATAGTTGTGCAATCTTACTAGTTTCTAGTTATAGTCATTCAAGCTGAAGATGTGGTTTCAGTTCTTAATCTTCCTCCATGAAAGATTTTAGAAAGGGTGAATTTGTCCTTCACAATCCACAAATGTAGGTAGGTAAATAATACAGTCCCTATTCAGTTGTATTTTAAATGTATGACCAAGTCTGCTGTTTAAAAGAACTATGTAGATTTACTGTTTTAATAATGTGAAATGGCTAGCTAAAAACTTAATTCATTTACACATGGTGAAATGAAAAGTACTTACTCATTTCTGCCAGCTTCTGTTGAAATTCCCCTGGAAGATGCTTGCTGCAGATTAAAAACAACATAAAATGTTTCATATGTATAAATGGGAAACTCATTTCCAGTAACTATAGTACTTTCAATGACTTATGTTATTACTTTAGCAAAAAAGCTTTTAATTTCAAAGGCTCATAAATAAACCATCTAAAATGTCACAAATTTATAAACCTATATGTTCTTCTAAAGCTCTTCTAAAACAGTAAACATTTTTCAAGAGTAAGCATTTTAAAATCTGAAGTTAAAACTTAAAATTTTATTAAACAGTTTTATTTAAAAGATCAGTTTTTTTAACAGCTGAATTTTCATTGAATTTCAGGAAATGATATAGATTTGGTGCTGCTAAGTTGGGGTGTATTATTATTTTGAGTAACTGTCATCATATTTCCAAATAACATTGACCTGAAAGGGATTGGTGGAAATCAGGGGGCCTCCAGATGACCACAAAACTATTGAAATAATTCTGGAACTGTTCCTACCTTCCATCTGCTTCATCTGATCCTTCAATATCAAAGCGTAGTTTTTTCAGTGGTTTAGGAGGGTTGCTCCCATCAGCACTTCTTTTGAGTACTCGATCACTGTTACAAACCATTTGATTTATCTTCTGGAACTTCTCAGATGTCTACAAATTACAGAATTCATTTTAAAACCTCATTATACAGTGTATTTTATACTTAGTAATCTTTAGCTGTAGACTGAGATGTGCCCAAAATGAGGTGGAGGTATTATCTTCACTTTTAATTTTATATTTTATTGGATCAAATAAAAGATAAGAAAAATATCAGAATCAGAGTAAATGAACCTAACTCTGTCTTAACTTAATACCCATACTTTTAAAAATCTACCTTTTTTTTTTCCCCATGAGGCACTTTTTTATTCAATCAACTACTTTGAAAGTCCTGGTTCCTCATCCTCATCTTCAGAACATACACCACACCTATAAGGATAGATGCTTCTAAGAAGTATGTAAAGCTCTTTGGAACCTTATGTTTCACAAATTTCTCTTCTCCCATCCAGGGCATAACATAACCAGAGAAAAATGTCTTAAGAATTTAATAAATTCAGCAAATAAAGGTTTTGGACTCACTTTATAGGTATTATATGTTGACAGGTTATATTGTTTATATATTTTAAATCATCATTGATAAAGTGTTGTGATGTTTCTTATTCACAAAGTTTAAATATAAAAATTCAAATATCTCCAATACTTAAGAATTTGATTTTAGGCCCTCCTTGATGGTGCAATGGGTTACAGTGTAGCACTGCAAAGCTAGCCGCAACCTTCCACATGAGTTCTATACCCGGACAGGGAGCGATCCACATGGAGCAGAAGACCTCTCCAGTCTTCTTGCCTCCTGCTCCCCTTCTTAATCTGCCTGTTCTGCTCCCCACTCTGTCGCTGGTGAATCATCTCACTGCCCCTGCACCTCTGGCCTGTACCCAAGTTCTGTATGCATAAGTAAATCGAAAAACATTATAAAAAAAGAAAATTGAGTTTATCTCTGTAACTGTAGATGATTTGATATATATGTTTATTGAGGAAGAATCTTGTCACAGCAAAGCTTTAGTAAAAAATTCCAAAAGGGGACACATATATTACAAGTGAATAAAATTCTGTTTCCTATCTAACTACTTTACAATCAAATGAGGTTATTATCTCAGGGGGGAGCATTAACGTATTTATTCTAACTAAAAAAATGAAGTCAGATTTTGCTGACAAATTAAATCCGATTTGACTGATTAACAGGTTACTGTTGTTGTTCATGCTTTATTTCACCATACTAGCTAATATTCCCCAAATTAAATATAAATACAGGTTTCTATAGAACACATATTTAGCACACATACAATAAAAACTAAATTCCCTATGCCGATTATAAGATTTTCATATATCAGCTTCAAAATATAACGTTTTTCATTTCTTTTGAAGGTGCCAAACAGACTGAAGACCACTTGACATCTATCCAGATTCAACCTGATCCTACATGTCCTTTATAAAACCTGTTATAGTTATAGCCTATCTTATGCTAAATGTCACAGCATTTACTATATGTAACATGTTTTAGCACTTGTCTTTTTTTTTTTTTAAGATTTATTTATTTATGCATACAGAACTGGGGAATGGGCTAGAGGTGCTGGGGCAGTGAGAGGAATCACCAGAGACAGAATGGGGAGCAGAACAGGCCGACTGTCAAAATACACTGGTGAGGGAAACAGCAAGCGGGTCAGGAGAAGTCTGCTGCACCATGTGGATCACCTCAGGGGCAGGGAACGAACTCATGCAGAAGTGGCTTTAGCTTCTTAGTGCTGTGCTTTAACCCGCTGAGCCAGCAGGGAGGACCCAACACTTTGTCTTTTAGTAAATACATTTTTCTTTCTGTATTTTTCAGTTTGGGACATTGCAGAAGACATATTCCAGAATGGCTCTCACTTATCTGTGGTTTCACTTTCCATGGTTTTATTTTTCCTTGGTCAACGGTGGTATGAAATTACTATGTATAATTAAGATATTTTGTGAGGGGGGAGACACCATATTTACATAACTTTTATTTTAGTATATGGCCATAAACTGTTCTATTTTATGATTATTATTGTTAATCTCTTTCTGTGTATAACTTATAAAGTAAATTTCATCATAGGTATGTAAGTATAGGAAAAATGCAGTATATACAAATAGAGATCAGTATTATCCCTGGTTTGAAGCATTCCCTGAGGGTTTTTGGAACACACTACTCATGGATAATGGGGGAACTACTATATCTATTTTAAATTATACTCATAATTATTGACTTTCAAAGCTGTTTTCTAAATATTTTTGTGACAGGAGTGCTTAGATGACAGCTTTGAAATTCACTAATTGTAAGTATGATTTGAAATTTAATCTAATTTGAAAATAGATCTGATATTTTTAAATCTATGCAATGTCTTAATAATATGTTTGATTACCAGCATTTATAAATTAAAATTACAGAAGTCTATTTCTTTTTATTACATATCATTATATTTCACAGAAAGAAAATACTTACCCCAAATGATTCACCAATGGATACTAAGATTCTGTTAAGATAAAATATAAATTAGTAATATAAATAATATACAACTATGCAGAGATAAATACATACATATCACTCTGAAATATTAGGAATAACAAATCAAAGACTTCCTCTACTCTTAGAACCATTAACACAATATACATATTACAGAATTGTTCTAACAGTGCTAGTCTAGTCATACACTGTGCTGGTCTCTTACATACATGACATTTTTAACTGGTCTTTCCAACTACCTGTCTGCAAGAACATATTTTACCACTAATCACATTTAAAGATAGTAACAGAAAATTTTAAGTTACTCCTATTTAGTTCTTCATAAGTTAATGGGTAAGTCATCAAAATGTTGTTCATATTTCTTCTTAAAAATACAAGTTACATTTGGAAAAAATCTTATTAAGTAATGACAAGAAATCTAATCAGACCTATAATGACAGATAATAAAAGCTACTTATCATAGCCAAGAATTCAAAATCTATATAAGGTAGTTGTCCTTATTTGAACCATACAAGTTATATTTCTGATAAGATAGCATCAGCCTAACATAATAAAAATTTTATCATCCACAGGGAATTAGTAAATGTATAGATTTTTTTTCCTCCAATTACTTGATAAGTGGCCATCATTTTATCTAAGACATCTGACTAACCAGAATATATTGGGTAAGTGTTAAGACAGATGCTTAATACTGATCAAAGGTTTGTAAGTATATTTAAATTATGACTTAAGAACTTTAACTGTAAGTGATTTTACTAAAATTAGCAAATAGCCATCATTATCAGGACAATATGGATTATCTTCATTAAAAATTACCTAAGTAGGGGTCCTCCCTGGTGGCACAACAGGTTAAAGTGTAGCATTGTGAAGCTAGCCACTGCTGCTTCACCATGAGTTCGATCCCCAGCCAGGGAGGTGACCCATGTGGCACAACAGACTTCTGTCTCACCCACTGGTTCCCTCAGCAGTGTACCTCATCAGTCTGCATGCATGTGCTGCTCCCCACCCTGTCTCGGTGAATCCCCTCACCACCCCTGTATCTCTGGCCTGTACCCCAGCTCTATATGCATAAATAAATAAAGTCTTTAAAAACAATTACCTAAGTACACATTTTCATATAGCAGTGTGGGACTATGTAAATTAAATAGCAAATATAGTAGCTTACAATATTAAATTACAGGTATCAGTACACAGACTCAACTATGTGTACAACAAATAAACAAGGAATGTTAAAGGGTCACATGGAAATACATATAATTTGCCATTTACTTTCTACTTTATATATTGCTTTAAAGTTTGAAATTTTTATCGTGTGTGTACATTACTTATATAAATAAACATACCACACAAATGTTTTCTAAGCAGTTAATGTGTCCCCTTCTCACTGTTTGTTTTCTTGCTCATTAACTACACTATATGATCTGACAATTTCTAAAATGAGACTACATTAACTATAGTAGTTAATCTACCTCACACTTTATATAAATAAAGTCAGTTTCAAATTGCCCATGATAACATATAATAAGTCAAATGAAGTACTTCAAAGTCTGAGAGAATTGTGGTTGGATGTGGAAGATAATATAATGATTTTCAGTTGCACAAAGTTTTCTTCTGATAATTTAAAGCAGCTACATATATCATTTCTTTGATTCCCCCTTTTCTGAAGTAGAGACAGAGACCTGCCCAAGGTAATATAAGAAGGCCACAGGCAGAATTAGGGAGGGACTTCTAAAGATTTAGAGTCATCTACATTTATATAACAAAGCAAGGTCCACAGAGTTTAGAAATAGCTGATAAAATATAAAATAAAAATTCTTAACCAAATGTTTAGCAGAATGGCCATTTACCAAAATATGGAAATGATTAGAAACCTATTATTTAACTGGTTAAACATCAGCATCAGGAAAGTTGATGGCTAAGTAAACAGGTTATCTTTCTTTTCCTCAGAAATTATTATCTTGTTACTTAATATTAAAAAGCAAATCAGGGATTCAATAGTTCAGCTTATTTTCTTTAAAGATTTATATATTTATGCATATAGAACTGGGGTACAAGTCAGAGGTACAGGGGCAGTAAAAGGATTCACCAGAGACAGAGTGGGGTGCAGAACAGGCAGATTGAGAAGTACACTGCTTAGGGGAGCAGTAAGTGAGACTGGAGAGGTCTGCTGCACCATATGGGTCACCTCCAGGGTGGGGGATCAAACTTCCAAGGAAGCAGCTGCAGCTACCTTTGCAGTGCTATACTTTTAACCCATTGTGCCACCAGGGAGGGCCCAGTTTAGCTTATTTTAAATGAAAAAAGTTTTATATTTTTATGCTTACATAACAATAATCACCTCTTATTTTATTACTTTCTTAAAGAGAACACACAAACCTTGATCTTGGAGTCATTTTCGTTGGTGTTGGCAGACCTTCTGAAATTTTATATGAATTCTTCAAGGGTGATATATAGATATTTCCTCCAGGAATTCGTAAAGGTGAACTAGAAAACTTGTAAGGGCTTCGAGGAATGTGAGGTATTGGTGACAAGGTAGGTGGCTAAAGCAAAAACAGAAAACATAAATTATTTATCTTAATGCTTTTGTGAAATTTACTGTTTCATAATTAGGTTCCCCCAGTCAAGGATACTTTACACATACCCTGGTGGAAGCATATTGTAAAATATTCGTTTTCAGTCTCTGCATGAAGACCGAGTTATAGAATACTATAATGGAATCATATTCCTCTTCTCTGATCAAAACACGTTTGAATGTCTGATGAAGAAGAATGAAAACAGTGTTAAGTGAATATGGAGCTTACCTCTTAGATTTTCTTTTTTTATTAGTTCAAGTATTTTTTAATGGAAGAAACATGTATTTTATAGGGAGAAACAATTTGTAAAGCCTTCTTAAATTTGGAGTATAATTGTTCTACCAGAAGTGGAGGGTTAAGATACATTTATGTAAATTTTATAAAATTAAAATTATTATTAAAACAAAAATTATTATTATTCAAAATATCCTGCTTATTGTAGGGATACAGTATTCCTTATTCACTTTACAAAATTTGGCTATTACAGTGTCTTAGCTTTCAATCCTATTTTAGTTACAAATAACTAAATAACTAAATAGTAATAAAATAGTAAATATTTGATAGGCAAATTTATGCAATAAGACTAGAATATATAACCTAATTAGCAACTTAAACTATTTGTATTATAGATATAAACATATCCAATTTATAAACATTTCCAAAAAAATATTACCATGGAAGTTTACTTACCTCCTGAATAGCATGAGGAAGATCCTTGTATGCTGTTACAATAATTTTGAATTTAAGATCTATATTCTTCACTTTACATATCCCATACATGGAACACATCATAATCTAATAAATGTGATATAAAAACAGAATTTTGTTAAATCAGTGTGCTTTTAAAAACACTGTTATCTTTCCTTTTGCTCAAAAAATAAAAATTTAATTTATAACAAAAGAACCTTTCCCCAACCTGAGCTCAGTTTAAAAGTCTATAAAAGGTCTATATAAAGTGTTTATCTAAAATTATATTTATTTAATTAGCCAACCCTCATTTATTCAGAACTGAAGATATGGTTTGTACATTATCCCATTTTTGATTCCTGTTCTTTAAATGTTGAAAAGTTGAAAATGGAATCAGTTTACTTGTAACTAACTGTTAAAAAAGCCAGGTTCAAATTATCAGATAATTAAATAATTAATACACTTGTTGGTTGTGGTGGTGGTAAATAGAATAAAATGATGGGAAAGGAATAGGACAGGATAAAGTCTTCTGTTTACCAACTAGTAATTACACATGTGAGTTCAGTTGATGAATTTACATCAAGATGTATCCTTAATGCCAAAGCTTGTGCTATAAGCATATTCCATTTTTCATAAAAGGGCATTTTAAATGCTAAAATAAGATTTGAAATGAATCCCTCAGAGTTTAAAACATCAAACTTTCTTACTCTATATGAACTTTATTGTTTAATTTAAATTTTCTAGTTACTTGTTCAACTATCTAGTATTTCTAAAAATACACACTCATTGATTTTTATAATCAAGTAAAGTTTATATTTTAAAAATTCTGCAAAATCTACTAGGCTGGCTTTTGGCTCATGAAAAGTCATGGAATTCTTAGAGCTTTTGTTTTCTAGGTAACCCCAGAAAGACCATCTAGTCTAGGCTCATCATTAGAGGTGCAAAAAAAGCAATATATTTAACTGGATTTTTTTTTTAAAGATTTATTTATTCATACAGAATGGGGGTACAGGCCAGAGATGAGGAGGGTGAGAGGATTCACCAGGAACAGAGTGGGGAGCAGAACAGGCAGATCGATGAAGTACACTGCTGAGGGGAGCAGCGGGCGGGTCAGAAGAGGTCTGCCGCGCCATGTGGATCTCCTCCAGGGCAGGCAGGAATCGAACTCATGTGGAATTGGATTAAGCTTCTTAATGCAGTGCTTTAACCCACTGCACCATCAGAGAGGGCCCTAACTGGATTTTTTAAGGTCACATGATATAGTGTGAGACACATTTTGACTTTTTAGCAATTTTCCTTATGACTTTTTAGCAATTTTCTTTAACAAATGGTTTTTGCTATGTGACTTGCAGGGTTAACTTTGGCAGGAGGTACTTAATTTTTATCACTGTAACATGCATAGTTTTCAATATAAAATTATTTTCTAACCCTAAAAACAAATACCCACTTAGCATGCCTAACTCTGCATCCTACCAGTTTCAATTATAATATCTTTTCATTTAGAATGCCATAGTGTCATCTCTACTAATTCACGTTTCTCCTACTTTAATGCAGTAAGTGCCTACTTAAAAAAAAAAAAAAACAACATAAAAACCAAAACCCTACATACTACAAGTATGCCAATGTATACACGTGTATATGTGTACACACATACATACTTCACATACATACATACATGTACACATATACACGTGTATATGGTGAAGTAGAAAATATACAAACTACGGGCCCTCCCTGGTGGCGGGTTAAAGCACAGCACTAAGAGGCTTAAGCCGCTTCCGCATGAGTTCAATCCCCGCCTGCCCCGGAGGTGACCCACATGGCGTGGCAGACCTCTCCTGACCTGCCCACTGCTCCCCTCAGCAGTGTACTTCGTTGATCTGCCTGTTCTGCTCCCCACTCTGTCCCTGGAGAATCCTCTCACCCTCCGAATCTCTGGTCTGTACCCCAGTTCTGTATGAATAAATAAATCTTAAAAAAGAAAGATACAAACTACTAAAATAAAAAATATGAGCTAAATTAGTATTACCAAACTATTCACAAACAAAAGCTCAGGCTCAAATTGCTCCACCAATCTGAGTCATTGCAATCTATGATATATTCACTGAATTCTATTAAATATTTAAAGAAGAATCAATTCTAACTTCTAAAATTTGGAGGCCAATATTTCTCTGAAACTAAAGCCAGACATCACAAGAAAAAATTAGTTCTTAAAATTTTAGATGTTAAAATCTTTAACAAAACCAAGCTGAATCCAGCAGTACATCACAAGGAGTAAAAACTGGCCAAATGAATTTAGTCTGGAAATGTAAGTTGGTTTAACAATGGAAAATCAGTTGCTGTAAAGTGATTTTCAATACAATAAAAGGGAGGGAAAGCCATTGTTCACCTCCTAGACACACACAAAAAAGCACTTGATAAAATCCAACAGTCTTTTATGATTAAAAAAAAGATCAAAAAACAAGTACCAGAGGGGAACCTCCTCAATCTGATAATGGGACATACAAAAACCCCCCACTAACAACATATTCAATAGTGAAAGAATGAACTCTTTCCTCTAAGAGTAGGAATAAAGCAGGGATCCCCTCTCACTACTTTCAATCAATATTATATAGGAGGTTCTAGCTGGGGCAATTTGGCAAGTAAATGGAAAAAAAATGTCATTCAAATTGAAAAGTAAAAAAGAAAACTATATCTAAAAATGACATGATAACATAATCTTATATAGCAAAAAGCTTAAGAAAACCACACATACACAAAAACTCCGGTGACTTCAACAGGATTGCAAGATATAAGAACAATATGTAAAAGTCAATTGTATCACATATACTTGTAATGAACAGTCTCAGAAAGAAATTATGAAACAATTCTATTTAAAAGTGTTAAATATAATAAAACATAGGATTAAATTTAACAAAACTTGTGCAAGATCTGTACTTGAAAATTATAAAACCCTGTTGAATAAAATTAAAGAAAATCTAAATAAATGGAAAGATAGCATGTTATAGAGTTGGAAGACAATATTGTTAAAGATGACAGTACTTCTCAAATTGATCTATGATTCAATATAATACATATCAAAAACCTGCTGGATTCTCTGTAGAAACTGTTAGTCAATCTTAAAAGTTTACATGGAAACACAAGTTCAGAAGAGTTTACTAATATGGAAAAAAAAAGCCTAAAGTACTATTGCTTCTTTACCATAATTTACTACCATAGCCAAGACATCTGATAACTGGCATAAGAATAAATTTAAAGATCAATGGAACAGAATTAAGAAACTAGAAACACTTAACCATTTATAGTTAACGGACTTTTGATAAATGTCAGTAGTGAAGGGAAAAACAAACTCTTTAGAAAATGATATTGGAACAACTTGTACTCATATACAAAAAAGTTTGTTTCCCTACCTCACACTATATACAAAAAGTAACCCAAACAGTACAAAAATTTAAAAGTCAGAGTAGAGGCATAAAGACCTTGGAGCGTAACAGATTAAACTACTCAAACTACTCAATGTCTGATATGACACCAAGAGCACTAGTAACAACAACAAAAATAGCTGAAGTGAATGTCATCAAAATTTAAAACTTTTGTGCTTTCAACTGTATTATCAAGAAAGTGCCAAGACAATTCTCAGAGAATAGGAGAAAATATTCCTAAATAATTTATCTGAACATTGACTGACTGGCATGTACCATGTCCAGTAAGATGGTTATAATAGAGGATAAATAACAAGTTGATGAGGATGTGAGGATGTGTATAAAATGGACCCTCAAACCCTGATGACAAGAATGTAAAATGTTGAAAAACAATCTGGCTATCCCTGAAAAGGTTAAAATAGAGTTACTACATGACCCAGCAATTTCACCAAGTAGAGAAGTGAAAACAATCCCATACAAAAATTTATATATAACATTCATAGAAACATTATTTAAAAAGTGTAAACAACAAATATATGTCAATTGGTAAATATGTGATCTAGCTATACAAAGAAATATCATTTTGCCATAAAAAGAAATGAAGTAATGACACAATCCATAACACAAATGGACAATGGAAACATCACACTAAGTCAAAGAAGCCAGACACAAACAATATATTATATGATCCCATTTATATGAAATGTCCAGAATAGGCAAATTCTATAGTGACAGAAAGTAAATTAATATTGTTTGGGACTGAATGAGCTAGGTAAAGAGAGTGAATACTAAAGATTATGGTCTTTCTTTTTGACATGATGAAAATGTTTTAACACGTTTGTGATGACTGTACATAAAGAATATAGTAAAAAAAAAACTGAATTGTACACTCTAGATGTTTATATGACTCATTCAGTTGTTCATTCATCATTCAACAGGCACTGTTTTAGATCAACCAGTCTTTGCTTATTTCACACTAAAATGAAATCTATATTATTTATCACAGCAGAGGGGAGGTCTATGATAAACAGGTTCAATACTGATTTATAGTGATTTTTGCAAGTAAGAGCTTTCCTTTTTTTTTTTTTAAAGATTTATTTATTTATGCATACAGAACTGGGGTACAGGCCAGAGGTACAGGGGAGGTGAGAGGATTCACCAGAAGACAGAGTAGGGAGCAGAACAGGCCGACTGACAAAGTACACTGCTGAGGGGAGCAGCGGGCGGTTCAGGAGAGGTCTGCCACACCATGTGGGTCACCTCCAGGGTCGGGGATTGAACTGGTGCTGAAGTGGCTTTAGCTTCTTAGTGCTGTGTTTACCTGCTGCGCCACCAGGGAGGGCCCCAAGTAAGAGCTTTCTTACTTAAACAAATAAAGTTCTTGAAATACTGTCAAGGTCTAATTTGCAAAAATTACAGCAAAAACATAAAATGTAGCCAAAAAGTGAATATATATCAAGTCCAATAAATAAATTGACCTAGCTCCTACCTTTTTTTTTTTTTTAAAGATTTATTTATTTATTCGTACAGAACTGGGGTACAGGCCAGAGATGCGGAGGGTGAGAGGATTCACCAGAGTCAGAGTGGGGAGCAGAACAGGCAGATGGACAAAGTACACTGCTGAGAGGAGCAGCGGGCGGGGCAGGAGAGGTCTGCCTCACCATGTGGATCTCCTCCGCAGGCAGGGATCGAACTCATGCGGAAGTGGCTTAAGCTTCTTTGTGCTGTGCTTTAACCCACTGCACCACCAGGGAGGGCCTGACCTAGCTTTTTAAATTTTCTTCAGGGGATATTTTCTTAAGAAATCTGTACATAGTTTTAACAAATAAGCAGGGAGAAAAAGAAGGCACATTATGATTCTTACCTGATCCAGATGCCTGTCTCTCATGAGTTCATACTCATTTTGCAATGTATGCTGAAAAAGGGTCCAGATGATATGCTCCAGTTCTGGGTGGTCAGACAGAAGGCGTGCACACAGAGTATTTAGTCGAAGATACGCTAGTCGGTACACTGAAAAATTAATGGGAATAAGTAATGTTTTCATTTTTTTTTTCAAACAAGTGGATTTTTTTTCCAAAACATAACATTGCTATTACCATAACTCTGCTGAAAAGAATTTTAACAATAATCTTACCTCTAGCACTATTTTCCTTATGTAAATCACTCTTTTAACACAATGCTAGGTACACAAAGGGCAAAATGATACTTGAATTAACTACTGCACATGAAACTAAAGCAGAGGTAGAAGGAAAAGTAGAAAAATTCTAAGATAATGTGAAAATAGGTGAACCAAATAGATTTTTTCAGTGTGGTTGGTAATCATTCATCACAGATGTTGGAAATCTTCACTATCGATATTGAAGAGAGACGTATTTTTTCATTCTTTTAAATTGTACTATCTTTTTTATCAAGAGAATATTGGTTTATAAAGGTGCATATGACTTAGTAGCATAGGTTTAGGCCTCCTGTGATGTATGTTATCATAGCAAATCTACCATCAAAGCACCAATAATCTTCCACCATAGTCTACTGAGTCCATACCCCACTTTGCTTCCCACTCCCAACCTTTCCTTCTGGTGCCTATTTTTTTTAAAGAATGGGATTGTCAGGATCTATTAATTTTTCTAATCCTAAAAATAAAAAAAGACCATATTTCTATGCCACATACCCATGGCACATACCCTGTTGAAAAATAAATAGTAGGCTTGTCGATTATCCAAGTGGTGACATGATTGTGACATGAAATTTACCTAGAGAATCTATAAAAAATATTATTAGAAAGTAAGTTTGGATACAGAGTCCACAAAATTCAACTGAATCTTCTACCATCTTAAAGACCTTTCGTTTAAATGTCTCTTGAAAGACTTGCATGGGCAATTAAATCAAATAACTTATCCTAGTGGTGCTCAAATTTAAGCAAGCATCAAACTTGCTTGGATGGTTTGTTAAAACAAGGATATTTTTTTAATCTTCTTTTAGAATTCTGATTGAACAGTCCTAAACTGGAGACCAAAGAAAAATTTTCCTTTCTACAATTTTTTAGGTGAGGTAGATCCTGTTGGTTTGGGGACCACACTTTGGAAGACCATCTTCAACTACAAATCTATTTTATTTATCTGTTTTCTACTCAGCATATGTATATTTCAATAAAATCAGAAGACCATTTGTAACAGAGGAATATGGCCTTTCATTTTCCTCTAAAGGGCTCTAAGTAGGTGTACACTTACATGTATATATTCATATACAGATACAAAAAAAGAATTCCCAACCCACAAATACACACACAACCAGAAAGCATTAGACAACTTGATTGCAGGAAATATGCTCGCACTAAGCCAAAGTACATTATACACTCTCAACTTTACATAAACATCTAATGAACAAAAGTAGTATCAGGAGCAAATATTTCCAAGCATTACTTTAAACGTATAACAACAGTGGTGCAAATAATAATAATATCTAACAATTTCTGAGTGTTTATTATGTGGTAGGCACTATTGGAGACATTTTATGTATAATTCTTTAATTATCTCAAAAATTCTATCAGGTAGATTACTATTAATGTTATTTCCATTTCATGGATACACCTCAGGAAACTGAGGTACAGAGATAGTGACTTGCCTAGGAGAAAAGCATGATTTGAACCCTGTTAGCCTGGTTTCAGAGTCCACACACATGAACACATTATTTACCAACCTTTTTTGTAGAAGAGTGAAAGGGAGGTAGATTTCAATGGCTTCTGAATCTGGAAGGGTGAGGCTGCTTGTGTCTCTGTATATGCAGTAGAATTTACACGTGTAGCTGACCCTTTTTTCTTTGGAGATCTAACTGGAGAAAGATACCTAAATATATTCAAAGGAAAAGTCTTCATTTAAAATTTACTAAGAAAGGGCTCTCCCTCGTGGCACAACGGGTTAAAGCAAGGTATTATGAAGCTCTCCGAAGCCACTGCAGCACAAGTTTGATCCCTGGCAAGGAAGCTGACCCACATGGCGCGGCAGACCTCTGCTGACCCGCCTGCTGCTCCCCTCAGCAGTGTATTTCATCTATCTGCCTGTTCTGCTCCCCACTCTGTCTCTGGTGAAGCCTCTCACCCACCATATCTCTAGCCTATACCCCAGTTCTGTAAGCATAGAAAAATAAATCTTAAAAAAAAAATTTTTTTTTACTAAGAAAATCTCTCTCTTCTCATATACATGCAAACACTCTATCCCTCTTTCCCCCATCTCTGGTCTATTTATGGGAATAGGCTATTGATACCAAAACAGTATTGTCAGATTTCTCTGATTCTCCTCTTAAATCACATAGTATAGCATTCTATGAATACTTCAGATAACATTAGGAATGCACCTTTACAGTTGTATACTAACATGTAAGGCTTTAAGTCAAGAAAGATATTAGTAAAAAATTATCTCAATTTTTGACAGTTCTACTGCTCTGTGTGACTATTTTACTTAGCCATCCAGGTCTATTATCTAATTTTGTTTTAGTAGCTGAGAAATCATTCTGATCAGGAAGTAGAATTTGTACCTTACCATGGTTGTTTCTAATATATGGGGTATATTAAGTAGCAGACTAGCAAAAGGGAATAGTCATCATGATTTTATAAGTACCACAGTCTAACCTACTATCAACATTGGATTATACTTAAAGGCACTGACAATACTGTAGACTGACTAAAGCTAAATAAAAGTTAGTCTCCTTTGAATAACAGCTATAAATTTTCAACTACCTAATGAACATCACTATTTCCTTTTTTCTTTTCTTTTCCTCCCACCTTCCATCCCCTCTTTAAACATAACTATTTGAATGTGAGACTAAATAATGCCAAAGTGAAACTCTTAATTTCCTCCCTTATTTTTCTCATCTCAGTAAACAGTTATCTTAAGTCAAAAGAATCCAGTTTAAGTGAAAAATCTAGGAGTTATTTTTAATTTGTCCTCTTTCCCAATTCTGCCAGCCCAAGGCAAAACTAGGTCTTATTAAGTCTATCTTTAAAATATGCCCTATATCTTACCATTTCTTTCTATGTTTACTGATATTACCAGACCAACTCACCAACATTTTCCATTGGAATTACTGAAACAATATCCAAATTAATTTCCTGTTTTCTTTCCCTGTTCCTTTCCCTTCTCCAATCCTACCTGTTCTTCAGATAATAGCCAGAGAACGGCTCTTTAAATGTAAAGTATATAAAGCTGGACCCCTGTTTGAAACGTTAATGCTTTTGCATGCACTTTATAAAATCCAAAATTCTTAACCATGCCTAACAAAACCTACACAGTCCAGACCTGGTTTGCCTCTCCAACTTCATCTTGGTGCCTTTCAATTCCTCTTGCTAATTTTTCCCCAGTTTCACTGGGGTTTCTTTTATCACCCCTAGGACTACTACACTTTGAGTGCTCTTCTTGAAATGCACATCACAGAGATGGTTGCCTCACCTATATCAACTTATCTTTGAGTTCTCAGGTGAAATAGCACTTCAACATGGAGAGCTTCCCTAAACTGTGTTTCAGTTTTTTTAATCCATATTCTTCTATTTCCTTTACCAGACTTGCTGTCTAAAATAACCTCCTGCATTAGTTTACTTGATCACTGTCTACTTACTTCCACCAGAGCATCAGCTTTTCTTACTTGCATCTGCATTCACCATTCTTAGGCTACTTCCTGGCACTTCACAGACAACTGCTTATTAAATTGTGAAAAAAAAATTGAGGCTTGATTTATTCATATTAATGTGTTATCTAGCAACAAATATATGCTTTAAGGCAGAATCTCCACATGCCAGAAGTACTCTAGGTATGACTATTATAGAAATGGCATTTCTGGAAAATAGTCCTCTACTTAATCACAGAACACTGTAATGCCAATTTCTGCATAGGACTAAATAGAAATATAACTTTAGGCATATTTTTATGAAAGCTGTGTACAATGTTTTAGAAATGGATTTTGGAAAGGTTAGACTCTTAGGCTTTGATATTTGCTGACTTCTGGCAAGTTACCTTATTTCTCTAATTCTTAATTTATAGATAACAGGCATGACATCAGAATATACTTTCATATAGGGCTTATATGGAGATCAAATTAAACAAATTTAATTTGAAGAACACAGTAGCACATAGGAAGCCCTCAATAAATTTCAGCTATTCCTTTGTCCATCAACATCATGACCTAATTAATCTAAGTTTTAGACTCTTTTCCATACTACTTCTTATGCCTATCAAATGCTTCAGTCCAAATGCTCTCCATGAAAAATGTTTTCTACTTTCCTAGCTGTTAATGCTTTGGGATTTAACCCATTTCTAGCTCTTGGAACACTTTCTGTCTCCTCCCTCCTTCCCTCCTCCTATGTTTCCATGTTGCAAACTTATCCCACCTTTAAAGCCTATCTAAATTATCACATCTGCCATGAAAACTATACTAATTCTGAGTGATTTCAGTAGTACTTCAGTGATTTCTGTACCACATTATAGGATTTTTATTTGCACTGTGTGTCTTACATTCCAGCTTCTTGGAGGCAGGAAAATGTCTTATTTGAAATTCTATTTTCTACAGCTTTTACATGGTACTCTGTATTATACTTACAACTTGAATTCTATTTGCAGGCTGAATGGAAAACATTTAACAAACTTACATGTCTGCTGCAGTGTGATTATTTTGGAAAGGAAGATTAAAAGTGCAAGCAGAATCAAGGTGATCAGTTGGTCCTTCTCGATCCTTTGCTTGTTTAATAAGATCAAATAGAGGTGAATCCTAAATGAAATAAATTGACATTAAAACAAAGAATGATTATTTCCATGTATATTTTAAAAGCATATTGTCTGACATAGAGAAAACTATATTTAGTCACAGCTGACAGTAGCAATTAAAAAGTCATAAAGAGATCCTTTACTCCTTTTGAAGATAATATTTGTTAATTCTTGTACTATATACATACACAAAAAAAGAGGACTAGGAAAATGTATAACTCTAAAAGCCTATATTAGAAAGGAAATTAAAAGTTGGGGCAAAGACAGGAAGACCCACAAGAGGTAGTAAGAAGGAAATAATAAAGAAATGAGAAAACTTAATGAAACTCCAAAGGTAAAATATTAGTTTAGTCAAAACAAGCTAATAATTGCTGATATAACTAATAAAATTAAATGGACCTCAGTCAAACTGAGAAAAAGAAAAGGAACAGATAAACAGTACTAGTATGAAAAGTAAATACATCATCACAAAGATTAGAAATAAGAGTTTATAGGATATCAGGTTATTATATTTAATTTTTTTCTAATTTATGTTTTTGTAATAATTTGATCTATGGTGTCCAATTTACTGACATAAAGTTTGTTCAAAATACTCCCTAACAACAGAAGGGCTGGCTAGAAGTCTACTCTAGACCTCTTTTCTCCTCTTTTCCCCTGCCCATGACATATAGAAGGTTTATTATTCAGAAAAAGTAAAACAGCATTTGCTGCAATACATGGTTCTCACAGATCAAGAAAGAAGTGATCACACTAAAAACATACAGAATTAAGGAAAAGTTTGTATAACGAATATAGAAGATCCAGCCTTTTTCCTGTTCCAGATGCTAGAAAACGTCATCATGATTATATCCTCCAGGCATAGCACAAATGGAAGAATTTGAACCTAGACTGTATTTTTAGGTCACATTATGGAGTTGTTTGTTTTATTATAGCAATAACAAAAATAAGATGAGTAAAAAAGATGTTTTTATTCTTTAAGAGATGTGTGATAAAATATTTATGGTAAAGTGTCATAAAGTGAAATGGAGAATAGATATAGAGGACTTACAAAGGATTTACAGAAAATATTACAAAATTCACTGTTAAATTTTTTAGGTCTACATTTAAAAAAAAATAATTTTAAAAAGAAATGGTAGATGACAGACAGTGCCTTTAAATAGGAAGTTACTCACACCTAAGCAATACATTACTGAACACTATATTTTTCTATTACTCCCGCTTTCAACTTAACTCATTTCAACAATGGCAAAAAGAAAATTGAAACTTAGAAAAAAAAAAGGTCAACAGCCTGAAGAGCATAGATTTTGAAATTAAATGTAAACTCAAATTCTTTCTTTAGTGTTTAGCAGCGTCAGTGAGTTTTGTTCTCTGATCTTCAGCTTCATTACTTGAAAAATAGATAGAACAACACTAATTTTGCAATAGTAAATTATATATAATGCCTACAATATAGATAATTGAACATTAAAGCCTTTTCGCTCCTTTAAGTGATTTGGCTTAATTATTTTACATTAGCCTATTCAAAACATATATGAATATGTTTAAAGATGTACCCTCAGCTCTGAAATTTCATAGAAAACAACTGTATTATTTTTTTATAAATTTATTCTCCCCACAGATGCCAAGTAAATACTTGATAAGTTTTGAATAAAGAGAGAAGTGATAACCATATTTGTCATTATTACATGCATCACTGTAAAACTTTATGGGTTTTAACCATTTTTGAGTTCTAACAGACCAATGGGGGACATGCTACTATGAGTAACAGTGGCTCACCACTGAAATAGTAATCATAATGGAGGCCGTATTAGGACTAGGTTGCTCATATCCGAGGCATCAGAAGAGAAGGGGGCACAGGCAATTTGGACAAAGAAAACGTTATAAACTCCATAACATAATTTTTTTGGTCAAATTATTTATTCTAAGTTATTCATTAAAGGCACTTTGAAGTGCAACCTAAGTAATGGCTTTCATTTGAGTAAAGTGTGCTAACAACACCAGCTAATGCATGCATATTATATTCAATTTTTTATGTTCTTTAAAGATTTACTTATTTATGCATACAGAACTGAGGTATAGGCCAGAGGTGCAGGGGCAGCCAGAGGATTCACCAGAAACACAGTGGGGAGCAGAACAGGAGGATCAAGTAAGTACACTGCTGAGGGGAGCAGCAGGCCGGGTAGGAGAGGTCTGCGGCGCCATATGGGTCACCCCCGGGGTGGGGATAGAACTCATGCTGAAGTGGCTTTACTTTCTTAGTGCTGTGCTTTAACCTGTGCCACCAGGGAGGGCCCAAACCTGTACTTTTAATAAGGCCTAGGCATGCTACTAATCAGGTATTGTATTTACTCTTCAGATATGTATTAAAACCTAGTTGTGCTTCAGGTTAGCACTATAAGGTTATACTAAACTAAATTCTATGTCCAAAGATAAAGGCATTATTTTTCACAAATAGACATCATGTTTCACTCAAGTATAGTGGTACCTCTTTATTCAGTTTCATTTTGCAGGGTTTCAGTTATACTGTCAGCCATGGCCCCAAAATATTATATACAAAAAGATATTTTGAGAGGGAGAAAGAAACACATACACACACACAAAGACAAAAAGAAACTACATTCATGTAACTTTTATTATAGCATACTGTTGTTAACTATTCTCTTAATGATTGTTATTAACTGATACTGTGCCCAATTTATAAATTAAATTTTCTCATAGGTATGTATGTATGGAGAGGAAAAAACAGAATGCAGAGTAGGAAAGCACTGCTGAGTATTTAGGCAATCTGGAATAAAATTGAAAATTATTTTATCTTTGAAATATTATACACTAAACATCAAACATTTATTGAATACTTACTATGTACCAGGCACTGGGTACAGTGGTAAGCAAACACGTATGGTTGTTACCCACATGGTGCTTACAGTCTGATGGGAAGAGGCAGACAATAAACAAGCAATGAAATAATTATGTAATGACAAATCCAGAAAAATTCTATGAAACAACAGAATTTTCACATGAAGATTAAAGGAGGAGACCCAGGTAGATGGGAGTGCTTCAAAAGGAAGACTTATCTGAGAAGGTAACTCGTGTACTGAGGCTGAAGGAGGGAAAAGAAGGCTGTCCTTTGAGGATGGGCAGAGGCCTTCCCCAAAATGAAAAGAGCATGCAATGAGAAACTGGCATTCTTTTAGGAAATGAAGAGAGGGCACTAATACTAAAAATAAAATAGTGGTGCAGTGGTGGAGAGGTTGCTACAAAAAAAGGGTAGGTAGCGTCCTTAAAAAGACTATGCTAAAACGTTTGAATATTCTAAGAAAAGGGGGACATCTATTATGATAGAAACAATGTTTTAGGATAGAGTTTTTTCTTGTCATGAATCACTAATATAGAGATAATTCATTCAACTGAATCTTACTTGATATTGTATTACTAACACAGAGCTGTGGTTCTAAAAACTGAATTTTTTACTGGATTAATTTCCCAGGTGATAGCACAAACCATAATCCATACTGCCTTAGCTCTGTTACAAGTGATACAACTTTCTATCAACTTCCAATTTCCTAGTGCCAATATTTATGAAGAATATGATAGGCAGGTTTAGCAGGTCTAGTGTAACTTTGGAGTTCTACGTATATAATATAGAATAAATTCAATTTGAAATTTAAATAGAAAAAGCCACCATTTACTTAGGTCCTTAACTTCACAGTAAAGCAGAACTATAAATATAGAGTTCCCAACATACTACAGATTATTTTCATTTCAGCAGTCATGGCTAAAAATGTCTTTCAGTTTATCTTCTTTTCAGGAGAAAACTGTCTATAAGCAGTATAAAACAAGGTTAGAACTAAGGTAAAGCAAGAGAAGTGCTTAGGATATAAAATTTAAGGAGTTCAACCATACATGTGACCCTGGTATGAAATTTACTCTTTGGGGCACTGAACAGTAAATTGATAATGTTAGTTAATTTAAGATATACTTGGCAACATAAAATTATATCTGTATTACTTGTGATGGTTTGTTTACATAAGAAAGTTTTTTCAGTGTACAATTTTTTTTTCAAATGTATTCATTACCTCATGAATCTAAAAAATAAATCTGTCAATTGTGTTATCATTATTTATGTTATAGATTAGAAAATTTAGTAATAATTTTTAGTAAATTATGACTGAACATTATATACACCAAAAATATTCTCTGTAGGGTAATAGAATTCTAAGCTATAAATGTAAAACTCTTAAGCTATTAGAAAACATTACTAATGAATAGTTTCTTAGATCTAGTTAAATACTAAGCGTGACTTTTTAAATTACAAATATTTTAATTTAACTATTTTCTATCCCATCCAAAGGGGTCACTAAAAATTTTCTAATTACAACTTTTATTAACAATAATAGTTACGTATTTAGTAACTTTTTATTATGTGTGTGTACTTAATTTTCAGAAAAACCTTATCATGTCAGTATACTATCTCCACTTAACAGATGAGGAAAGGGATGTTAATAGATAGCATATCAGGGATTTAAACTTAGCCAGCCAGCTTTCTCGTTCTGAGATAGTATCCACAATGGCTATCCAAATTTTACTACTGTACTAGTGTAAAAAACAGCAGCAGTAAATTAAGTGTATAAGTTAATTTCATCAATGCTAGATATGGCATTTCACGTTATTTAATAAAGCCAAATATTTGTGATAATCATTCTTCTAGCAGAAAACAACAGTCATACTTACTTACAGAGTCATACTTATTTATAGAGATTACTATCTTTAACTTCTATGTTTACTTAGAACAATAACATAATTTACCAAGTAATGAAAGCTTACATAGAATATTTTTCTTTTCAGGGTAATCATCTACTATAGTATAGCTCTACCAATACTGCCCGCCTGTGTCTATATGTGCATAACAAACCTATGCCTGTCAGAGGTATAGCTCGCCTGCAGGCCTCTGGCAGTGTCAGTGCCTCTACTTTCTTTTTCTTGCTAAGTCTGCCCTTTTGGATA